TGAATATCGTCGACGACAAGTATACGTACTTTCGCATCTGTATAAGGTAATCTGTGAAATAGGTATGTAACACAATAGTGAGTAAATTCATGCACAAACACTACAATGTTTTTGAAATGGAAGTCGCGCTTGTTTATGCACGCTCCACATAAATACTCATTGTATAACCTGATCGGTAAGTCCTCGATCTCTGTACCGCCTTTGTAAATACTAGCACTTTTTTTTTTTTTTTAAGCAATAGTCATACTAGCCATTTGCATTTTTCTTACGGAGAGAAAATTGTAAGGAATCTCTGGACAGTCCAGCCTATACCAAAGACTTTCCTGTATGCGCTTATTACTGGGAACACTAATTGTGCCCTTTTTGGTTGCTGTTATAAGAGTTCCATTTTATTTATTTTTTATTGATGGAATTGTTTTGTTTCACTTTTTTCATTGTGTTTCAGCGACTTGATTTTTTTTTTTCGAAATTGCGTCTTTTAAATTCGATTTTAAAATATCCTCAACGATAATTATTTCTAAATTGCTGAGCTCTGGTGTTCTTATCTAAGTTCAAGCTCTGTTAGCATGAAGCCTTTTGTTTCTTTTTAGTTTCAAATTTTCTATTGTCACATTAAACACTCCCGGTTTTCACAACCACAATGAATACACGTACACTGGGCCCATAACCTATTGGGAAATGGACTAAGAAATAAAAGAACTTGTTAATGATCGATATTCAATATATTTATTATATCGAACACAGCGTGGAAAGCAGAGCGTGTGAACTCGTAGAAATAACTATACGAACTGACTCAACATCAAGACAAAGAATTACAAACCCTTTCTTAAGTTAACGATTCCTCATCTGTTTACCTTACATATAAAAACTATTATAAACACATTCAGTCATCCATAGCTGCGATATAAATTAGCAAAGTATAGGCTAATAATCAAAGTTTGATTTATTAATTTTTGTTTCACTGATATGAATATCAGTTTATCCAACACTTTTGTAGAAATATTTGATAATAGGCGGTAAAAAAGGCTCCTGTAAGATGTTTTTAAATATTTCACTAGAATCCGCTTGGGTGGGGCAACTTCGCCAATCGTTATCCGGCACTGTCGAACTCTTCTAGGATGGTTAGAGATTATAAAAAAAAACTATCTGATTTATACGAAGAAGAGCAGTTAATTTTTGCTGTGATTTAGATAGAAAATAAAATTTAGGTATTTGTATCAGAATAATGCTGTCGAATTTGCCCCCTAGGGGAGGGCAAGTTCGTCATTTGACATTGATGCAAAAAAAAAATATTTTTCTCTTTGAATTTATACGATATTGGTTTTAAATGCCTCTTACCTACTAAAGAAATGTTATCACTATGTTTAGATAAGGTTGTGTTTATTTCTGTAAATACAAATCGTTTTTAAAATCTTGCAAACCATAACATGTCGAAGTTGCCCCACTCTCCCCTATATTAAAACGATTTAAATTTGACACAGTAAATTCGATAAGTACACCAATGGAGAAAGGAATGGTTACCGATGAACAAATTTGTGTAAATGGCAAGCTACTTGAAAATAGGGTACCCTATCGTAGAGCTATAGGTAGTTTACTGTATTTATCAACAATAACTCATCCTGACATTAGCTTTGCACTGAACTATTTGAGCAGATTTACCAATCAACTAAAAGTAAGTCATTGGAAAATGGTAAAACGTAATTTTCAATATTTGAAAGAGACTGTTTGTACTAGAATATGCTTTAACGGACATCCAAAACTTATAAGCATACACAGATTCTGATTATGCAGGTGATACACCTGACAGGACGCTCAGTGGAGTACTTATACTACGTGGTAGACCCATTATATGGTATGCACAAAAGCAACGACTGATGGTAGCAACCTCTACGGCTGAAGCCGAATATCGAGCTGTGGTTTCTGCTATAGATAACATTTGTTGGATTCGACGTATAGGGTGTGAACTTGGTTTTATAAATATTTACAACCCAACACCTTTATTTGTGGACAATCAATCAGCCATACATATGCTTAAGAATGCACATGAAGGAAAAATTACTAAAGGAAAGAAGAATATTGAGGATACCAAGGAAGTTTATAATACACACATGTTGATAAAACAATCGAACTAAAACATATTAAAAGTACTGATCAATTGGCTGATATCTTGACCAAACCTCTAAGTCGAAAAGTATTTGATCATTTGAAAGATAAAATAATTAGGGAGGAGTGTTGAGATGTAATTATTTTAATAATTAATTAGCCAGGTAAAGGTACGGTAGGATATATGTCATGTCATACTAGACTTTTGTTATGACTTTTGTCAACTTGTCATATTATTTGTCATGCTGCAATAGTTTGTTGTCTGTAAACTTAATATCGTCTGTGTATTAATTAGCTACCACACTTTGTCCTAACTAGTAAATCTTGTATGTATTATTAATTAGTATCTAGTATTGTGAACAGTGAGGATTTAGAACAGGTATTTTATGTAATGTCATTTCATGTTGTTTAGGTGCCAGAAAATTGTATTGTTGTTATACAGGGTGTCCCACGAGGTTCCTCCCAAATGATCATTTCGGAACGCATCATCGTATGTTCCACTGTATATTTTTCTGTCATATCCTTTAACAAAGCCTCAACAAATATGGCATAGCCGATTTTGTAATTTAATTTTCTAACGAAAAATACCATAATATACCATGAGTTACATTTAAGATTCTAAAGTTGACGTCACTTGACCGAAATTGAAGCAAAAATGGTAAAATGGCATATAATATTGACAGTTGAGTTGAAGAGGGCGCTTCTGTACTTGGAGCTATTTAAATTTTGGCGCGTAAATAATTGATTGTAATTTTAACCTCAAAAGTTAAATCTGATGTGTGATTTCAAGACAGACACTTTTAAAAATATTCTCTTAGGGCCACTGAATGCTTTGGAAGATATTTTAACTCATTCATTGTCCATTGTTCATATTGCAGTCATCTTTCCTTCTACTCAATTTGAACGGTTTAAAATCTTTGACATTTCCCGCCAAAATTTGAAGCACTCCAAGTTCACTAGCGCCCTCTATAAAATTTTGGAGAACTTAACTGGATATTTGCTGCCATTGGATGACAATGGTAGAAGCGGCACAAAAAGTTACCCAGAACCTCAAAATATTTCAATTATATTGGATGACGCGTTCCGGAGTTATCACTTGGGAGAAACGTCGTGGGACACCCTGTATATTACAATTAAGTAGGTATTTTTGAACATTATTTTTCACCGTTAATAAATATTGCGAACAAGACAGGAACAATTATTTATCTGTCAACAAGAAACTGGATCATCCACAAACTTACATCTACTGCACTGAATTAATTATCATCAGTTAGTGATCGGAAAAAGTTTCGCTGAGCAACGACGAAACTTACAAGGAGTATTTACTCGTATCCGTAAGGCAAACCTCCGATGAAATGACAAGACATGTTCACTCTTCCATCAGCGCGTAGATTTTCTTAGCCACGTACGCCACGTAGTTTTACCCGAAGGAATTCATGCTGACGAGAAAAAAATCCAATTCGTGAATAGCCTCGACCTTGGGAGAAACATGAACTCAGAGGTGTTCTTGGGCTTTGTACATACTACAGACGATTTGTAGAAGGATTTGCTTAGGTAGAAGCGCCGTTGAGGCGAATGTAAATGAAATATCTGCGAGCTGTTTGGAATCAATTGAGATGTTGAAGAAGTCAATAAGTTGTTGTGTTAGTGAGTTTGAGTGAACCTGGAATCCGTGAAAATACAGGGTATCCGGAATAACTTGAAGAAGTATGGAAATGTTGCAAATCATTGGAGATACAGGGTAGATAGAATGGGGAATCGCAGGTGTAATGTATGTACATGTAATGTATAATACAAGGATTTTATAAAACGCACTTTCTTCTTTTTTGTCCTGTATTTCCGTTGCTATTCCGAGTTCAGAGAAGTTGATGACAAATTATTATATGCAGATACTTGATTGTGCAACTTTTTCCCCGCTTGGACCGCCCTGTATTTTCAATGATGTCCAAAATTCCGGCATTTACTTCAGGTTATTCCCGATACCCTGTATATTGATGATTGAACATGATCTTATTTTGGAAAAAGTCATGTTACTAGCTAAAGAAAACAATATTAAATTCCAATATCGTTTAACACAAGTGCGTTATTTAGCTCATATATTTGAAAATGGTACAATTAAACGTTGATAATAGAATAAAAACTATTTCAAACTATGATATTCCAACTGACAGAACTTCTTTATAAAATTCTCTAAGTCTAGTAAATTATTTAGGTAATTTATATGAATTAGGTAATCCTCTAGAAGAAAAACGTTTATTATGAATGTCTTCACACAAACAAAATAAAAGATACCATTGCTAGCAGTCAGGTTTTACAACATTTTGATAGTCATGAAAAAATACTAAGTTCTGCAAACAAAATGATAAAGCAGTTTGTGTAGCATCAAAAAGTTTGTCAGAAACTGAAATTGAATATTAATATTGGTCGGATAGAAAACGAATTTTCAGCAGTTTTGTTTTCATAGTAGAAAAGGCTATCAATACATTTTAAACAAGAAAACCCTAATTCACACAGATTACAAACGTTTAGTTAAAGTAAGTTTAATGAGAAAAAAAATCAATGAAATCCCTTCAAGGAAATTACAAAGAATAAGATGAAAATTGATGAGACATAATATTGTTGAAGTTATTTACAAACCAGGGGGAAGCTTATGTTGATTGCTGATCGTATTTCAAGAGTAGGTATATTCTCTAGAGCTTATTCAAATTCTGAAACAGATTCTTGTTTAAATGATGTAACAAAATACACCAAATGACCATCTTGATTTTTTCAAAAATCAGTTTTTTAGCGAAAAGGTAGAAGGTGTTCATTTTATACTGGATCGCCCTATACCTAGCTATGGGGCTGATTATGATATATTTTGGATTCAACAACTAACAATATAAAAAAATTCTCACCTATTTATATCAGCATCGGTAGATTCCAATATAGTTGTGGCCTTCTCCAAATGTCCGCACTCTACTGCAGAAAATAATGCTGCAACAGAAAAAAAAAAGACAAACTTCATTATCGTTCACTTCACACGCAGGGAAGTGAAACTTTCTAAATTCCATTCTTTCCGTATTATAGCATAAAAACTTTTTCTTGTTTGCGTTAGTTGGGAAAACTCAGTTTTCGAATCGAGCGCGAAGAAAATTTAATCGACGTTGTTGTAATACGATCGGGAGCGAAAACTTTTCTCACCGAAAATGACGTTTTTCTTTTATATCATTTCCAGTTCGGTTGGCTTTTTTTTTGAGCGACAAAGCCACAGAGGATATAAAGAAGTTGTTTTTTTTTTGTGTGTGGAAATAGATAGAAATAAATTCATCCTTCATCCATTATGTAAGCTCTATAATAGAAAGATAAAAATTTATTATTTGCCATTGATAAATGTTTGTATAGTAAAGTAATCACATACAATGTAGGCAATTATATAATAATTATACACACTGTATAACAAAAGGTGATTTTTTCCGTTGTATCAACAATACACTTGTTTGTTATACCTTCCTGCTACATGCAAACAAATTAACTGTGTAGAATTTATTATTTTCAAAATGCAATAAAAAACTTTTATTGAAACGAATCATATGACACAATGGGATTTTTTCTCGGAAAATGAAATACAATTGAAAAGTTTTCCGATATATATTGCGATTCGATAAAAACACACACACATACAAAGCTGATGGGTGGAAATTAAGTTTGAGAAAATCAAACGAAATTTATCGTTAGAAAGTTTTCTGTGAATCGAACCAAGTTAATAAAAACGATGATTATTTGGCTCAAACCAAATGTGTGAAACAATAATTTCCCTCAAGTTAGCAGCAAAATCACTAACAGAACAAATTTACTGTGAGAATCTTTTCAATTCTTTCCTATCATATTCTTCTCTAACAGGGATATTAAGAATTTGCTTCAATATCCTTTTGAATCCATTTTCTAATTCTATAAGGGTTCATGTATCTTTTTCTCAAACGTTTCTTCTACTTCTGTGGTCAAATTCGCTGTGAGAGGTTCTTCTAGTCCATTAAAAACCTTACGCCGTCTTTTAATCATATTTCCAGATGTGTTGAAATTGTTGAACATTTTCAAATTTCCAAACATTTCGACTTCTGAAAAATGAGGTTTGGCCGGTCTAAATTAATCAATTTAGAGAGTAATGTCAACACAGATCATATGGAACTTAAACCTCCTGAAAATGTAGTTGTATTAAAGAACTACAAATCCTGCAAATTTCGACTCATTTGGAATCAGAGTTCCAGAGATACAAGTTTACTAATGGCGAAAAAACCAAATCTCAACATATTCAAATATTCGTCTGCGCTATTTTCAAACATTTCCACTGAAAATCTTGACTGTAAAAAGTTTAAGAGGTCCGAAATTATCAATTTAGGTCATAATGTCCAGGTCCAGGACAAAAGCTCTTTCACATTTTTGGGAGGTGGTCTCTCCAGAATAGCGGTGATTTTAGAAGGATCTGGTTGGACTCCTTAGGGTGTAATTACGTGTGCCAAATTCTTCACAGAGGAGTACACAAAATGGCATTTGGATCGATTGAGGTGAAGCTTAAAAGCTACAAGTCGGTCAAAAATTCATTGTAAATCAGACAGGTTTTCTTGGTAAGTTCTGAATAATACAATCAAATTGTCTATATAAGCTATTATGGTCAAATCTTGGAGTCCGGATTTGAATCGATCAATGAGTCTTTGGAAGGTCGAGGGTGCATTTTGCATTCCAAATGGCATTCTCGTATAACGGAAAATTCCAAATGGGCAAATAAATGCTGTTTTATCTCGATCAGATTCGCGGACAGAGACTTAATGGTATCCTGATTTTAAATCAAAAATGGTCATACCTATACTTTGTTTTTTTTTGCAGTGTGTAATAGATCATCAATCCTAGGAAGTGGGTATTTATCGGAAACTGTTTTCTCATTTAGACGTTGATAATTGACACAAAGGCGAATACTACCATCAAGTTTAGGTATTAGAACAACTGGTGCAGCATACGGGGATTTGCATTCTTCTATGATTCCATCTTTCAGAAGCTTATCCTTATCCAGTTCGGCCCTCAATATGTTTTTGTTTTGTTCAGACATCCGATAAGGTGGTATAGAAATTGGAATATCATCAGTCCGTTCCACTGTATACTTTGCATATGGTGTTGGATGTTGACTGACCATTAGGATACAAAATCTCGACAAAAAAAAATTTGAAATTTCATCGTTTTAGTAAGAATGTAATGTAATAATTTAGATTTTGGAAAACTTCGAAAGGTCATAACTTTTTTTCTATTATAGATAGAAAGCTGAAACTTTCACTGAATTTTATTCCAATCAAGGGACTACAATCCCTGGAGATAAAATCGTGTTAAGCAATTTGGGGTGATTTATCAATTTTTCAATTTTTCTGAGTGCGTTTTTTCATGGATTTCGGCTTCAAATCTGAGAATTATTTAGTGTATGGAGTTTGGGGGATGTTGATTGACCATTAGGATACAGAATCTCGACAAAAAAAAATTGAAATTTCATCATTTTTGTAAGAAGGTACCTACCTTATGATTTAGATTTTGGAAAACTTTGAACGGTCATAACTTTTTTTTCTATTATAGATAGAAAGCTGAAACTTTCACTGAATTTTATCCCAATCAAGGGACTACAATCCCTGGAAATTTCAGCTCATTTGCACTTATAGTTCCTGAGATAAAATCGTGTTAAGCAATTTGGGGTGATTTATCAATTTTTCAATTTTTCTGAGTGCCTTTTTTCATAGATTTCGACTTCAAATCTGAGAATAATCTAGTGTATGGGGTTTGGGGGATGTTGATTGACCATTAGGATACAAAATCTCGAAAAAAAAAAAAAAATTGAAATTTCATCGTTTTAGTAAGAAGGTACCTACCTGATGATTTAGATTTTGGAAAACTTTGAAAGGTCATAACTTTTTTTCTATTATAGATAGAAAGCTGAAACTTTCACTGAATTTTATCCTAATCAAGGTACTACAATCCTTAGAAATTTAAGCTCATTTGCTTTTATAGTTACTGAGATAAAATCGTGTTAAGCAATTTGGGGTGATTTATCAATTTTTCAATTTTTCTGAGTGCCCTTTTTCATGGATTTCGGCTTCAAATCTGAGAATTATTTAGTGTATGGAGTTTGGGGGATGTTGATTGATCATTAGGATACAGAATCTTGACAAAAAAAAAATTGAAATTTCATCGTTTTAGTAAGAAGGTGATTTAGATTTTGGAAAACTTTGAAAAGTCATAACTTTTTTTCTATTATAGTTAGAAAGCTGAAACTTTCACTGAATTTTATCCCAATCAAGGGACTACAATCCCTGGAAATTTCAGCTCATTTGCACTTATAGTTCCTGAAATTGTTAATCAATTTGGGGTGATTTATCAATTTTTCAATTTTTCTGAGTGCCTTTTTTCATAGATTTCGGCTTCAAATCTGAGAATAATTTAGTGTATGGAGTTTGGAGGATGTTGATTGACCAATAGGATACAAAATTTCGATAGAAAAAAATTTGAAACTTTATCGTTTCAGTAAGAAGGTACCTACCTTATGATTTAGATTTTGGAAAACTTTGAAAGGTTATAACTTTTTTTCTATTATAGATAGAAAGCTGAAACTTTTACTGAATTTTATCCTAATCAGCTAATTTGTATTTATAGTTCCTGAGATAAAATCGTGTTAAGCAATTTGTTGCGCATTTGGCAAAATAACCTCGGTCTGAATTATTTAAATTGGCATTTTGATTTATAGTAAGGCTCTGTATAAGAGTTTGTAACATTTCTGGCGACATTACTACTTGTTGAATAACGTCATTATCATGATTGTCTTCGTTATTTTCCATTTCATTAGATTCAGTGCTTTTCGACATCCGACCTGAACGTAAGTGCATGAAATTAGTATCCTTGGTGAAGCTGGTGAGATGGATTATGACCACAATCAAAAAACTCACAGGAAAACTTCACAAATCTATCTAGTCAACAAGAGTACAGTCAAAATAAATTTGCTTCTTAACTTGCCCCACGTTGGGCGCCACTTTAACTGGGGTGTTTTGATCAGGAGTGTACTTGGAAAAAATGTAATACGGTAAACGTTGATTAACTAAATTCCCGAATATTTATTTCAAAATACTGTACTAATTGAACAAAAGGCAAAAATATAGCAATAAAGATTTCTGAAGTAGAAAATGAATATGTGTTGACAACGCTGATGCTTTCTATGACAATTCCTTTGCACCTTTTTTTCTCGACTGGTCATGGACCGGTGTCATTCGGTGTTTTCTACCGAGGTGCTTTGGTGTCTTAATGGTTACATTATACAATTGGATATCTAATTCTGATACTGACAACGAAAAGAAACCCGTTGCAACTTCAGCTAAGGCAATATCGGACAAAAAGGAAAGTGACACTTTGAGATAGCTTTTTACGCCGAAACGTGATTCTGAAGGCGGCAAAGGGGATGGTAAAGGTGGCGGCAAAGGAAGCAGAGGTGGAAAAGGGAAGCAATTTGATCATTCAATTGACTTCATAACTTATTGTTACACATATAGGTAAAGCAGGTGTGAACGTGATAATAGTCGATAGCGATTACGAGCGTACCAGTTCCTCTGTAGAAGACGAAACGATGCCTGTAATGTTGGATCAAAAGAAGTTCTCATAAAGTGGTTGAGAAGGAGGAACGGGTACCACCCATTCATCCGGTGATGGTGAGAATCGATTTGGCCAGGCTTAATCTGAATGAGATTCCTATTTTGAAGGAGCATCTTGAAAGGTAAGAATTGACTAATTTTCGAAGTCAAACTTTGAAGGTAGATTGCTCAGGAACCCGTTGAACAGCTGGAACCAATTTGGCACAATTTTGAAGAGAATTTAATGCACTTGAGATTTCCTTTTGTTGGATTTGTTTTCTTATTAAAATTTTCAAATCTAACTGATGTTAGAGTTGTTTCTTACTAATTTGGACTGGCTCTATCGATTTCTAAAATCAAAATTGAGGAAAACTCCAAAATAATTTTTTTAAATTTTTTGCACTTTTTCCTCCTCTGGATTTTTATTTCCAAATTTTCAAAGCTCGATATCGTGGTAACCAAAAGCGGTATCCAGACAAAATTTTTGGGGTTTGTAGCTCTTGATAAGGCCTTTCAGATGGTATTTAGCTGAAATCGCTAGCGTTTATAGTTTTTGAGAAAATTGAGTTTCAAGTTTTGGACAGAATTTTGACTAAAGTCCAACTTTGGAGGTTTGTAGCTCAAGAATCCCTTTGGATTTTTATTTTCAAATCTTCAAAACTCGATATCTTGGTAACCAAAAGCGGTATCCAGACAAAATTTTTGGGGTTTGTAGCTCTTGATAAGGCCTTTCAGATGGTATTTAGCTGAAATCGCTAGCGTTTATAGTTTTTGAGAAAATTGAGTTTCAAGTTTTGGACAGAATTTTGACTAAAGTCCAACTTTGGAGGTTTGTAGCTCAAAAATGAAGAACCCCTTGAGTAAGTGGAACCAATTTGGCACAGTTTTGAAGAGAATTTAATGCTCTTTCCAATGATATAAAATTGTTGTTATTTTGCCCATATGTTATCGAAGATCTGAGCAATTATTCATGAGCGTGTCAAAATTTTAAAAAATGTCCAGAGCCAACAATGAGATTTCCTTTTGGATTTTTTTTTCTCGTCGAAATTCTCAAATTTAACTGATGTAAAAGTTGTTTCTGATTAATTTGGACTCGCTTTATGGATTTCTGAAGTCAGAATTGAGAAAAATTCAAAAATAAAAATTTTCAGTTTTTTGCTTTTTCCCTTTGGATTTTTATTTTCAAATCTTCAAAACTCGATATCTTGGTAACCAAGAGCAGTATCGTGATAAAATTTTTGAAGTTTGTAGCTCTTGATAAGGGCTTTCAGATGGTATTTAGCTGAAATCGCTAGTGTTTAGAGTTTTTGAGAAAATTGAGTTTCAAGTTTTGGACAGAATTTTGACTAAAGTCCAACTTTGGAGGTTTGTAGCTCAAAAATGAAGAACCCCTTGAGTAAGTGGAACCAATTTAGCGCACAGTTTTGGAGAGAATTTAATGCTCTTTCCAATGAAATAAAATTGTAGTTATTTTGCTCAAATGTTATCGAAGATCTGAGCAATTATTCATGAGCGTGTCAAGATTTTAAAAAATGTCCAGAGCCAAAAATGAGATTTCCTTTTGGATTTTTTTTTCTCGTCGAAATTCTCAAATTTAACTGATGTAAAAGTTGTTTCTGATTAATTTGAACTCGCTTTATCGATTTCTGAAGTCAGAATTGAGAAAAATTCAAAAATAAAAATTTTCAATTTTTTGCACTTTTTCCTAAGGATACACCCTTTGGATTTTTATTTTCAAATCTTCAAAACTCGATATCTTGGTAACCAAAAGCGGTATCGTGACAAAATTTTTGAAGTTTGTAGCTCTTGATAAGGGCTTTCAGATGGTATTTAGCTGAAATCGCTATCGTTTATAGTTTAAGAGAAAATTGAGTTTCAAGTTTTGGACAGAATTTTGACTAAAGTCCAGCTTTGGAGATTTGTAGCTCAAGAACTCCTTGAGCAACTGGAACCAATTTAGCACAGTTTTGAAGAGAATTTAATGCTCTTTCCAATGATATAAAATTTTAGTTATTTTGCTTAAATGTTATCGAAGATCTGAGCAATTATTCATGAGCCTGTCAAGATTTTAAAAAATGTCCAGAGCCAAAAATGAGATTTCCTTTTGGTTTTTTTTTTTCGTCGAAATTCTCAAATTTAACTGATGTAAGAGTTGTTTCTGACTAATTTGGTACTAATTGTATATAGAAAATAATTCATGGGGGCTTTCTCTTATGAAATACATTTTCAGTGCCGCAATAATAAGTTTCAAAATAAAATAATAAAAATAATAAAAAAATTAAAAAAATCTTACCATGCAAATGTATATTAATCCTAGCGAGTTTCTCCAATTTTTGCTGTATAAGTTTCGCCTCCTTTTTACTAGGCTTGAGACTGGGAGGTGGGAGACCCCGGCTGAGGGGGATGCTCGCCACCTCCATGTCGAGGTCTGCCGAAAGACCTGGCAGTTCTACGGAGGAAAACAAAAAAAACACAACCAAATAAAAAAAATAAAATAACAAACAAATAAATAAATAAACAATAAAAAAAATATATTGTCAGGTGGTTATTTTTATCTCACCCTCCATATTATAGTAGTTGTCACTGCACAGGAGCTGCACAACTAAAACTAATTGGTTATATATTATTTGAATAAATAATGGATAAAATAACATAAAAGTAATTCCATGTTACGGTTTTTCTGTTAAATGCGACAAGCACAAATTCCATTTGAATCTTTTTGTATGTCTATTTTTGGATTAAGGGTGGTGGAATATCCTTTTGGAAATGACAGTCCATTAAATTTATTAATAATAAGGATGTCCTTTGTTTACTGGATTTGGCTTTGTGTTTGCTTTAGAGAAGTTTATCAAAATAATGAGTAAATTGTTTTCCCATAATGTTGATAATGTAAGTAAAGCAGGAATATTAATATCATCAAGAAGCAAGCAAAAAGAAACTCGTTCAGGAAATGAACAAATAATAGTTGAATGCTAACAATACACACTTTAGAGTATTAAAGCAATTGCATTGTTAGTACTCTTGTTGTTCTATTGCTTTCAAGTTTTACCCTTATAATTAATGTCACATTCTATTGAAAACTTGTATTTAATTAATAAATAAATCTTTTCTGAGGATACCAGTAGTTCTAGAATATAAAATATAACTTAAATATAATTTAAAACAAAGTTTTGTGTTTATTCTCTTCAAAATTGCTAATATCTTAGTTTGAGTTCACTGTTCAGTAATCAAGTATCTCAGTTAACTGAAACTTTCTCAAAACAACCCTAAAATTCACCTGCGCTCGTTATACTAGTTTTAACATAAAGCTGAAACTTTGTTAGGAAGTTTTCGTTTAAATAAAGATCCCAATTTTTACCAGGCATTATACTCCTGGCAAGTTGGCTGACTGCTTGTGCCCCTTTATGAAGGAAACCCACTACCGATTGAAATACATTGGAAAACACCATTTTTTTTAAAAGTTTTTCATGCACACCGAACACTTTCAATTATTTATTAGCTGTGGAAGCCCAAAACACAACTACTGATAAAATGTTTGTTTTGTTTTTTCTTTCTCAAGTATTTATTTATATACCTGGCTTTTTTACTATTAACAATGTAGCAGCAAAAAGGTCTATTGCAACAAAATTAATTTGATAATAATAATTATTGTGAGATGATTTTTGGAAATTAACAATTAACAATTAAGTATTGATGTGATTTATTATTCTGTTAGTAGAAAAATTGAATTAAAAATATAGAGAAACAATTATCCTTTGTTTGTTTAACAAATATTGTAATTTATTTATGTCGAAACGGTCCAAGAAGATCTTTACTTGGAAAAATTGGAATTTCTAACATTTCTAGGAATGAGGGAGTCTCTTGAGTTGAACTTCCAAAAACTTTGAAAATTCATATTTCCAGCAGTGTTGGAGATATTGAACTGAAGCTTCCTAAAACTGTAGTTGTAGTGAGAGACTACAAGTCCTGCAAATTTCACTTCATTTGGAATTATGGTTTCCGAAATACATTGGATTTTAGTCTTCACTCGTTTTTAAATGGTCATAAATATCAGATTTTTTCCTGGAGTAATTTTCCACTAGAAAATTTTGAAATTTTCCTATAATGAGCTCCTAACTTTCCTCTTTTTCCTGGAAAAATTTTACAATTTTTTCTTTTCCAGTTTTCCAGAAAAAATTGAAATGTAAAATGGGAATTTCCCTAAATTCAGCATATTTTTAACAATTTGTCCTGGACTGATTTTTCACTGGAAGATTTTGAAATTTTCCTATATTGAGCTCCTGACTTTTCTCTTTTTCTACAGAACATTTTAAAATTTTTCCTGTGCCAGTTTCTTGGAAAAAATGTAAATATAAGAGGGTGAATTTTCCTCAAATTTGCCTAAAAAAGTCAATGTTCCAGAATTTTTCCTGAAGTGATTTTTCACTAGAAAATTTTGAAATTTTCCTATAATGATCTTTTCACTTTCCTCTTTCTTTTTAGCAAATTTCATAATTTTCCCTGGAATAATTTTCTTGAAAAAAAATAATTTACAAGAGGGTGCATTCAAATTGAAAAAAAAAAACAGGAGTTTCCGTCCCCCTTCTATAGCCCACAAAATGGAAAATCAAAATTTTCCGAATTTTGGAAAAACAAAAAATTTAGTATATAGAGAAGGTCAAAACAAGCAGAAAAACTATTTGGCATTTTCCCATAGGATGTCTCCTAAGTCTGGAAAAAAAATAAAGAATAAAATCCCTGAGGGGGCTTTTCCAGCATGGTCTTATTAAATCGGCCATAACTCTGGAACGCCTGGATCGAGTTCAATGAATCATATTCCATTCGATACAGAATTTAATTGCCTACAAAATGATTTTATTTTGAATTTCCAGAATCTTCCAGTGTCCAAGTAATAGACCTTCAAAGTGGCAAACATAAGATTTAAGTCTTCACTCGTTTTAAAATGGTCATAATTTCTGAACGATTCAAGTTAGCGAGTTGCGGTTTATTTCAAATTAAAAATCAGCTCAAAATATATCAATATACGTAAAGAAATTGTTTGGAATCTGCTTCTATCGTTTGAAGTACAAGGCTTGAGAGTTTTCTAATGGCAAACATAAGATTTTAGTCTTCACTCGTTTCAAAATGGTCATAACTTTAGAACGATTTAAGCTAGCGAGTTGCGGGTGTCTCTTGAGTTGAACTTCTAAAAGTTTGAAAATTAATATTTTCAGTGGTGTTGAAGATATTGGACTGAAACGTTTTGAAAATGTAGCTTTAATTAGAGACTACAAGTCCTGCAAATTTCACCTTATTTGGAATTATAGTTTCCAAAATACATGTTCATTAATGGCAGAAGGATCAGATCACAACATTTCCACATTTTCAACTGCGCTATTTTCAAAAAGTCTTGCATTAGTTGTCAGTATGAAATTTGGGAAGCCAAATATGATAAATTTAGATCCAAATATCTATTTGGAAAAATGGGATAATTCAACATTTCTCAAGGAAAGCAAGCGTCTCTTGAGTTGAACTTCTGAAAGTTTGAAAATTAATATTTCCAGCGGTGTTGAAAATATTGGACTGAAACTTCCTGAAAATGTAGCTGTAATTAGGGACTACAAGTCCTGAAAATTTCACCTTATTTGGAATTATAGTTTCCGAAATACAAGTTCACTAATGGGGAAATGATCAGATCACAACATTTTCAAATGTTCAACTGCGCTATTTTCAATAAATCTTGCATAAGTTAACAGTATGAAGTTTGGGAGGCCAAAAATGATAAATTTAGATCAAAATATCTATTTGGGGAAATGGGAAATTTCAACATCTCTCAAGGAAAGGGGGTGTCTCTTGAGTTGAACTTTTGAAACTTTGAAAATTAATATTTCCAGCGGTGTTGAAGATATTGGACTGAAACTTCCTGAAAATGTAGCTGTAATTAGGGACTACAAGTCCTGCAAATTTCACCTCATTTGGAATTATAGTTTCCGAAATATAAGTTCACTAATGGCGAAAGGATCAGATCACAACATTTCCAAATTTTCAATTGCGCTATTTTCAATAAATCTTGTATTAGTTAACAGTATGAAATTTGGGAGGCCAAAAATGATAAATTTAGATCAAAATATCTATTTTGAAAAATGGGAAATTTCAACATTTCTCAAGAAAAGGGGATGTCTCTTGAGTTGATCTTCTGAAAGTTCGAAAATTAATATTTCCAGAGGTGTTGAAGATATTGGCCTGAAACTTCCTGAAAATGTAGCTGTAATTAGGGACTACAAGTCCTGCAAATTTCACCTTATTTGGAATTATAGTTTCCGAAATACATGTTCATTAATGGCAGAAGGATCAGATCACAACATTTCCACATTTTCAACTGCGCTATTTTCAAAAAGTCTTGCATTAGTTGTCAGTATGAAATTTGGGAAGCCAAATATGATAAATTTAGATCCAAATATCTATTTGGAAAAATGGGATAATTCAACATTTCTCAAGGAAAGCAAGCGTCTCTTGAGTTGAACTTCTGAAAGTTTGAAAATTAATATTTCCAGCGGTGTTGAAGGTATTGGACTGAAACTTCCTGAAAATGTAGCTGTAATTAGGGACTACAAGTCCTGCAAATTTCACCTTATTTGGAATTATAGTTTCCGAAATATAAGTTCACTAATGGCGAAATGATCAGATCACAACATTTTCAAATTTTCAACTGCGCTATTTTCAATAAATCTTGCATAAGTTAACAGTATAAAGTTTGGGAGTTTCCGAAATACAAGTTCACTAATGGCGACAGGATCAGATCACAACATTCCCAAATTTTCAACTGCGCTATTTTCAATAAATCTTGCATAAGTTAACAGTATGAAACTTGGGAGGCCAAAAATGATCAATTTAGATCAAAATATCTATTTGGGAAAGAGGGAAATTTCAACATTTCTCAAGGAAAGGGGGTGTTTTTTGAGTTGATCTTCTGAAAGTTTGAAAATTAATATTTCCAGCGGTGTTGAAGATATTGGACTGAAATTTCGACTGAAATTTCCTGAAAATGTAGCTGTAATTAGGGACTAAAAGTCCTATAAATTTCACCTTATTTGGAATTACAGTTTCCGAAATATAAGTTCACTAATGGCGAAAGGATCAGATCACAACATTTCCAAATTTTCAACTGCGCTATTTTCGAAAAATCTTGCATTAGTTGTCAGTATAAAGTTTGGGAGGCCAAAAATGATAAATTTAGATCAAAATCTCTACTTGGAAAAATGGGAAAATTCAACATTTCTGAAGGAAAGAGAGTGTCTCTTGAGTTGAACTTCTGAAAACTTTGAAAATTAATATTTCCAGCGGTGATGAAGATATTGGACTGAAACTTCCTGAAAATGTAGTTGTAATTAGAGACTACAAGTCCTGCAAATTTCACCTTATTTGGAATTATAGTTTCCGAAATACAAGTTCACTTATGGCAAAAGGATC